TGAGTACGAGGTGAAGACTGCAAGAATAACGACCTGCAAGTGTTAACTATGCTGTGTGGCTAGGCTTGCTATGAGACTGTTGGCGGGTGAAGCCTCGGTTCTATGGCCGTTGGTTAAAATTAACCATCCTTCATGCACCCCACAGTGAGCCAAGAAGATAAGCTGTCATCTAATTTGGTGATGAAACAAGAACTCTATCTACAAATTAAATCTTATCAATTATGGAAACCTACGATTCCCCGCCCATCGGAGGTCTCCGTGTGGGGAAATCGATCCTACGTTAGCGGGATTTGTATATCAACCCTCCAACAGACCGAGCAAGTCTCTAGACAAATGCCCGAAAGTAATTTAAATCCAACATCATGCTGTACACCCACGCGACAATCATCACGGTTGACTCAAACCGACGCATCATCGAGGACGGTGCCATCCGCGTACAGAATGACTTAATCGCGGATATCGACAAGACCGCAGCCCTGAAGGCCAAGTACCCCGACGAGGACGAGTACGATCTCACCGGCCGGATAGTCATTCCGGGCCTCATTTCCACTCATATGCACACGGCGCAGACGCTGCTCCGGGGTGCTGCCGATGACCTCGAGCTGGTTTCCTGGCTGTGCGAGCGGATCTGGGTGCTGCAGGGGAATTTCACGGCCGAGGATGGGTATGCCGCGGCGCGGTTGAGTATCGGGGAGATGCTGAAGTCGGGCACGACGTGCTTCTTGGAGAGTATGGTGTGTATTAGTAACGACTGTCGTGTTTGGGAATTGGTCTAATTGAGGCAGTTCGCGGACCGGTACGGATTCGATGGTCTGGCGCGAGCAGTCGAGGAAAGCGGCATCCGTGGCTGCTTGGGTAAGATCGTCATGGACATCGCAAAGTATGCCAAAGATGATGCCTGGGCCATGCATCCTGGGCTGGTCGAAGATCGCGAGACATCATTGTTGGGCACGTTGGCGATGTGGGAGAAGTGGAATGGCAAGGCCAACGATCGTATTCGCGTATGGTTCGGCGCTCGCACACCTGGAGGGTAAGCATTTCCGTGTAAACTCACATTTGAACTGCCACTGACAGAGGGATAGAGTATCAGATACCCTGTATCGTGAGATGACCAGTTTATCCCGCGAAAAAGGCATCCCCATCACCATGCACTGTGCCGAGGTGCGTGCCGACCGTGACTTTTTTGCGTCTGTCGGACACACCCCCATGACGTACTGCGACTCGGTCGGCCTTCTCTCGCCGTCGACAGTGTTGGTACATATGGTGCATCTAGACGACGACGATATCACGCGACTTGCGAGTTCAGGAACCCACGTCGCGCATTGTCCGACCTCCAACGCCAAGCTTGCCTCTGGCATCTGTCGCGTGCCAGACTTGCAGCGAGCCGGCGTTAATATCGGCCTCGGCACAGACGGCGCCCCCTGTAACAATACCTGCGACCTCCTGCAGGAGATGAAGCTAGCGGGGATTATACATAAGAGCCTGTCTTATGACCCCACCGCGGTACCCGCCGAATCGGTGCTAGAGATGGCGACCATCAACGGCGCCCGTGCGTTAGGATTGGAAGACCGCATTGGTAGCTTGGAGATTGGCAAGAAGGCCGATTTTGTAGCGATAGATACTCGTCGTATCCACTTACAGCCCTGGTTCAACCCCGTCAGCGCGGTGGTCTACACGGCGACCGGTCGGGATGTCGATATAGTCGTTGTCGATGGGCAAATGCTGGTGCGTAGTGGAGAGCTGTTAACCATGGACGAACAAGAGATCGTGCGCGAGGCCCAGCGAAGAAGCCAGGAGGTGGTCGCCAGAGCTGGTTTGAAAGATCGAGTAAAGGCTCGGTGGCCGGTAGAATGAGCAATTTATCTATGGAACTACAGTCTCGATGATATTCATGTACCAAGCAATTGACATTGAATCACGTGGCTATCGCATCAAGTTCGTTTCGACATATATACACATCACATCTGCTCATGCGTCCTTAACAAAATACAGAGCCTGGGTGTTGCACCAGCCAGTCAATCCAGTCACACCCCACTCAGAGCCAATACCACTAGACTTGTGTCCGCCAAATGGCACATTAGGCAGCACCATGAAGTGTGTGTTGACCCACACGTTACCAGCCTCCAGTTGGCGCGCAATCCGCTGGCCACGCTCGGCATCCTTCGTCCAGACGGATGCTCCGAGTCCAAGCTCGGTGTCGTTCGCCCGTGCGATTACGTCCTTCTCGTCGGACCACTTGAGAATGGGCAGAATAGGCGCGAAGGGCTCTTCTTGGACAATACGCGAGTTGTCCGGTGGGTTGTCGACAATAGTCGGCGGGACGAAGTAGCCCTTGGACTCGGGGATATCACCTCCCAAGACAGAGTTCAGGCCTTCGGATGCAATGTGTTCGATCAGGTTCCGGGCCTTGCCGAATTGCATGCTGTTCTGAAGGGGACCGAAGAAGACATCGGGCTCGGTGCCTTCGCCGAGCTTCAGGTTCTTCACAAAGGCGACGAGCTTGTCACGGAACTCGTCATAGATCTTCTCGTGCACATAGAGACGCTTGATCATCATGCAGATTTGACTCGAGCACAGGAAGCTCAGAATACCGACCTGTTGGAGTTAGCCACAGTTGGTGTGATGGTAAGGGGTTGTCTGTCATACCTTGGGAATGATGGCATCAATGTCAACATCGTCGCAGACAATGGCAGGGTCGTTGCCACCCAGCTCCAATGTAACGCGCTTCAGCGTCTTGGCGCAACTGGCCATGACTCGGCGACCGGTCAAACTAGAACCGGTGAAACTGATCTTGTCGATTCCTGGGTGCTCGGTGATCATGGGGCCGAGGTCATCACCGCCGCTCAGCACCTGCACCACACCTGGTGGGAAGCAACGGGCAGCAAGCTCTCCTAGTTTCAAGTTGCAGTAAGGAGTGAAGGGCGACGGCTTGACAATAATTGTGTTACCAGTGTATACTGCAGGGATGATCTTTCCGACCGCCAGCATGACGGGAAAGTTCCAGGGCACAATGGCACCTCCAACACCGATGGGGATGTGTCTCTGGACCACCTTGTGCTGTTCATTGTCCTCGATCACCTTCTCTGGGACTTCAAGCTGAGGGATAGCTCGTGCCCATATGACGGCGTTGTCAATTTCACCGGCTGCTTGGTTTAATGGTTTCCCTTGCTCCTGGGTCAGTAGCTTGGCCAGGGTATCCTTGTTCTCTTCGATGGCGTCGGCAAAAGCGCTCAGCGCCCGACGCCGCTCGTCAATGGACGTCTGCGACCATGTCTTGAATGCCTGGCGAGCGGCGTTCACGGCCTTGTCCAGATCCGCGGCAGTTGAGACGGGGACCTCGGGGTTGGGTTGTTGGTTCGCGGGGTTGATGCCATGGCGCGTTTCGGCGGTGGTGGTCAGTTCGTTATTAATAACGTTGTAGAAGGTCTATAGCTGGGTTAGCGAGAAGCATTACAGTGGTTCAGTGGTTCACATTACAGTAATATCCAATGTCATGGTGAATTAATTTCTCGCGGAGATTTGTACAATTATTGTGATTACAGAGGGGTTGAGGGGTAATTACAGATAACGGGCGACTCCCCTCTTTTATATGGAGTCTAAGGCCCCCGAACATGCTACCGACGGTTCGACCATCCTCGGGGTGTCGTCCTACAAGTGCCGTGATTGATCAACGGAGGATGACACGAAAGCCAAGCAGGCCGTGCGGAGACGGTCTCCCAGTCAAGGTGGGGCCCTCCACGAGACGGTTCAATAGTGGCGTTCTGGGAGGCGACGTAGACTGCAATGATCTGCGGGTGCATCTTTGGAGGTGTTGGTTGCATTCATGATAGGCGAACGGTCAGCCATGCAACCCTAGTGCGGGCACTCTCCACCCACGCTGTACAATGTCATGTCAGTCTCCGAGGTAGCTCGTTCAGCATACATGAACACCACGCCACTATGGCAGTTCTTTAGCCTGTGAACCTGTATAGGCTTTTCTTGGCATTTCCCGTTGAGAAAGAACACGGTGTGGAGTGTGGAGTCTCTGCCGCTTCAACAGTTCAACTAGAGTAGAGCATTAACTAGAGTTGGCATCTACTCCGGAGTCTGGCTTTCTGTGCCATGTGGAGTTGGTCATCTTTTAGTCTGTACTGCTGACCGCTACCTTCAACCCTGGTCTGCAAAGCGTAGTCTACTCCGGAGTATACCTCACTAGCTAAATTGAATGTCCGTCTTGTAGAGATCACTCGCAACCCCTTATTGTCAGCGGTGCCTTTCCGAGACAACGTTCGAGCCTATTAAAGGACAAGCTTCCTCCATGTCTCACTGCAAATTCTTTCCAACAGAAGCATATATCTACCACCAGCCTGACGGATATATTCATTCAAGAAGATAATCGATGCACTATAGTTCATAACTAGCCATGTCAATTTCCAACTTCTGTGGATTCACCATAAGTGAAATGCATTTTATTGTCAACCTTCAAGCAACATCTACGGTGAGTGAGTGGCAGTATAGGCAGCATGGTGCCGCGCCAATGCAGTGGTTCCATCAACAATATCAAACCTCCCATTGCTTGGCTATATGATATTCAAATATACCCAGCTAAAAGCTTAGAGCAAAGGACCCTCAACTATAGGGCGAAGCTTGGTTGAACGTTATTGGCTATTAGATGTTTCACTATATATATTTCGGTACGGCAGGGACTAGTTGATCTATATCGGACTTTGATAAGGACTAACATGGTGCGGGACATAGGTCCGTAGAAGACTTGCATCCCTCAACATGGCCCATGGCCTATTTTAATAACTTCACCATGTTTCCTCCGCAAACGCAAAGAAATCTTGGCAAGAGGACCCGGGGAACAATCAGTTATGTTATGGATATGATTGATATGATCTGATAGGGTGATTAATCGCGGCCCAACGATTGGATTGCCGAGGGATGCCAAGCCCAAGGCCGGTATATATTTTCTGAGGGTGGCAGATTGAAGCCCTAACATTCTCCCCCGTCGACTCAGGATGACGACCAGCAAAGCTGCAGAGAAGCAGACCACTCTGGTCCAATCCGTCCCGGCGTCAGCGATCGAGGATGCAGAGCTGTCGTTTCAGTTTTCGAAGGATGAGCATAACCAGGGCTTTTGGACCGCTATGCGGCTGCACTGGCCCGCAGTGGGGTGGGGCTTGTTCATGAATCTGGTGAGAACTTTTCGAACAACATCCTTTCCAGCACACTTTGCTAAAGGTTATAGGCAACTATCCTGAAGGGTATTGACGGGGGTGTGGTGAAAGGTCTCGTCGGCCTGGACGTGTTCAAAGAGACCTATGGCTACAATCACAACGGAACCTATATGATCGCCGCGCAGTGGCTTTCGGCCTTCAACTATGCCAATCTGCTCGGTGCCATCGTGGGCGCCCTCTGCTCCGGGGCCGCCTACAACCGCTTCGGGCCTCGCATCATGATCGCCATATGTTCGTGCTTGTCTATCGCCTTCATCTTCATCCAGTTTTACAGCCACACGCCCGCCCAGCTGTTTGTCGGGCAACTCGTCAACGGCGCGGTGATCGCATTCTACCCAATTTGCGCCTCGGCGTACGTCGGCGAAGTGACTCCACTCGTCCTGCGAGGGTTTGCCGCCACCATGACGAACCTGGCGTTTTCCATCGGCTCCCTGATCGCATCCGGCATCCTGAAGGGAACGGCGTCGATGAACACCCAGCTGTCCTACAAAATTCCCATTGCCACCCAGTGGGCATTGCCCTCTATCATGCTGTTCCTGGTCTTCTTCTGCCCGGATCCACCGTATTGGCTCTGCCGTAAGGGCCGCTACGACGCAGCGCGCGTATCGCTCCGTCGCCTGGCCACACCTAGCATAGACGTCTCGCGAAAGTTGGCGCACATCCGAGAGACACTCCGGCTAGAGGAGGAGTTCCAGGGCGACCGGCCCCACTACAGGGAATGCTTCCGCGGGCCCAACTTCCGGCGACTGATGATCTGCGTGATGGCGTACAGCATGCAGGCGTTCACCGGCAATATATTTTTCATCAACTATGCCGTGCACTTCATGGAGCTGGCCGGGCTGGATTCATCCGATGCCTTCTCCATGAACCTCGGTCTCACTGCCATTGGGTTCCTGGGGACCTGTATCTCGTGGCTGTTGCTATCGTACGTCGGTCGGCGCACCATGTACCTCTTCGGTTGCTCGTCGCTCGCCCTTCTGTTGTTCATCATCGGTGCCGTGGACCTCGCCCCACGCCAAACCAACACGGTATGGGCGCAGTGCGGTCTCATGTTAGTTTGCACATTCGTGTATGACCTCAGTCTCGGCCCTTTCTGCTACGTGCTTCTGGCCGAAGTGTCCTCTGCTGCTCTGCGCGGGTTCACGATCGCCTTGGCAACGGTGGCCTGTTTCATATGGTCGGTCGTCTTCGCGGTCGCTATTCCGTACGCCATGAATGAAGATGAGGCCGACTGGAAGGGGAAGATCGGCTTCCTCTTCTCGGGGCTCAGTGTCCTCTGTGTGATTTATGTCTACTGGTGTATGCCGGAGACCAAGGGGAGGACGTTTGAGGAGTTGGATATTCTTTTCGAGAGGAAGGTACCCAGTCGGAAGTTCAAGTATTATAAGGTTGACATTGATATTGACGGGAGGAGGCTGGAGGAATAGTTCGTGATATGCATTATGACTTTTACGAATGGAGTTCTGAAACTTGAAATCGCCGAATATCCGAGGCACACTGTGAGAACTGCGCATATAGTATGTGATGCTATTGCTGCTTAGAAATCCAGGCAACGTAACCAGGGCTAGGGCTAGGGAAACCTAACCACTCATGTTGGCCAGAGCAATCAAGGGAAGTAATTGTCTGACCCAAGCTTCTGCTCGATATGGTAAATGCAGGCGAGAACACCACCGGACTGGTTTCAGGCGTGTCCAACGTAGACTGTGATTGTCTGCGTGTCGGGATGGCAATATTCGGGCCCTATGGCGCAATGATTTGCTGCGCCGTCATTTGATGATGTGATTGTACGCTGCGGGGTATGCGCCGTCTTATATTTGTAGATTAAAGCACGCATGAATCTAACTCTGCTGGATTGTTTACTATAGCAAATCTACCCGGGATAAGATCATCTACACCTAACAATGTCGGTCGCCGTGCAGACTCTCGTTCAACCTGATATCGAATATCATCCGAACTACGAAAAGTATACCGCACGGGCGGCGCGTAGAAAGGCTACCGAGCAGCTTCCCACAACGCTACCGGATGGGTTCCCGCAGAAATTAGAGTCGCCCTTGGTGTGGGAGGGAAAGGACGTCGAGAAGCGGGATGACTGGATCTACAAGTTGAACGATGCACAGCGGAAGGAGATTGATGCTGCGCTGAAGAGCTTTCAGGGTATACCTTACCATTGCCAACCATGCACTCCGTCACAGATCATGTGCAGAGAGGGCGTGAACAAGCATCTGTGCTAATTCCTGATAGCCCAGAACTTGAGCTTGGGCAATATTAACCAGGACACCTTCCCCTTGCCCAACCTCCGTCCCACCCTGCGATCGCTCTCGAATGAAATCCATAACGGCCGCGGATTCTTCGTCCTCCGCGGACTCGACATCGATCGCTACACTCGGGAAGAGAATATCATCATCTATGCAGGTGTCTCATCGCACATCGGCAATATCCGCGGCCGTCAGCAGGACAGACGGTTTACGCCGGACGGTGGCTCGGTGGTCCTGTCGCATATCAAGGATTTGACGCGCACGAGTGTGGCGAATTCGATCGGCGCGCGTCCAACACCGCGGATAAACAAGTGTTCCACACGGATTCCGGCGATATCATTTCCCTTCTTTGTCTCCATCCCGCCGCCGAGGGGGGCGAAAGCCAGATTTCCAGCAGTTGGTTGGTGTATAACATCCTGGCTAAGGAGAGGCCGGATTTGATCCGTACGTTGTCGGAGCCATGGCCGCTCGATGGGTGAGTCGTCGTAGGTTCGCAGGGAAGTGACGATCGCTAATGCGTGGGGATCAGATTTAATGACCCCGTAAAGCCCTATACCACGCGTCCCCTTCTCTACCACCAAAAGGCAACCGATACCACCCCTGAGCGCGTTCTGATCCAATACGCTCGTCGTTATTTCACCGGATTCCTCGCGCAGCCGCGGTCGACCGACATTCCCCCAATTTCCGAGGCACAGGCCGAGCGCTGGATGCGATTCACTTCATAGCCGAGGAACACAGCGCCGCGCTGGATTTCCAAAAGGGTGACGTCCAGTACATTAACAACCTGAGTATTTTCCATGCGCGGAAGGGGTTCCGGGATGAGCCTGACAAGGAGTAAGTGCAATCACCATATTTTCTGAGGGCTCTGTCGTGCTGACAAAAACGTAGACGCCATCTGTTGCGACTTTGGCTGCGCGATCCCGAGAATGCGTGGGCGACACCGGAGCCTCTGCATGAACGCTGGGAGAACGTATATGGGAACGTTACGGTGGAGGAGCAGATTTTCCCCTTGGAGCCGAAATTGCGAAAGACCGTGGGCAGGTAAGCAGACGATGACGTGGTTTCGGAGACTTTTGAGAAATCTCTTCGTTTTTTCTTTTTCCTCCGTCGGCGTTTCTGAGTCAAAAGGATTCGCGGTGGATTATTAAGGCTTCTCCGATTTGGAGATGAGGGGAAGTTTCTCCCCGAACCGCTGGTGCATATCCCGGGCAGTATCTTCAGCCGCCATAGCAGGGTCCAATATTCCATAGCATCTACATAGCAACATCGCAGGTTATGGACAGAAAATGGTGCTCCTTAGCTATCGAAAGCACGTAGAATACAGTAGCAATCATGATGAACATAGCAAAAACTATGAATAGGGTTGCATAATTCAAACCCCGAGAACTATTGTCTTACTCCGGACGTTAGGGCAGACTCCGAACCATGTCGGCTGCGTCCAAGCTTCTCCAATTTTGCACAAATTTGGGCCTTTTTCTCGGAAGGCGTAAAATCTAGACCTGAAATGTAGATCATTATAAATTCGACAGCCCCAAAGCTAGAATGTGACACATTCTGCCCTGGTAGAGACAAGATTTTCCGCACCTGTAGCCATGGGACTGTCACGCTCTAGTCCTCATTCAAGCTCTGGCGAAACCATCTGTTCTAAAGATGTCGATGTCGAACGCAAAGATGCCCTCCCGACACAGGAAATCGAATATCTTTATCTCGAGCTCGAAACGCCGCTGCCCACGCCGCGGATCACATTGCCGCCCGGCCCCAACCAGTCCCCCGCACCAGAATGTCCCGATATGAAGCAATACATTTCCCCGTTTCTCTGGCCCAAATGGCGAAAATCGATGATGACATGGATTTCCTGCGGCGTGACTGCCTTGGCCGGTTATTCAGCGGGTGAAGGTAATCCGGCCTCGACGGAGCTCACAGAGAAATGGGGGATCAGTGGTGTGGTATACAACCTGAGTATCACCATCTTTTGTATAGGGTTTGCCTTGGCACCCATGGTTTTGGCTCCGTTTTCGGAGCTCAATGGGAGACGGCCAATTTTCGTTATCAGTGGTGTCGTTTTCACAGGTGTGTTGGTCGCCAGGAGCTACTTTCCGAGTGATTCTGACTTACATTTTCTAGCATGTATTATCGCTTGTGGTGGAACGCATTTGTTTGCTGGACTGCTCGTAGCGAGATTCTTCCAAGGTGTTGGTGCCTGTATGTCGCTCCTTATACCTCGCGCATTTCGGTAATTTGCTAACACATGGTCAGCGACGTTCTCAACCATGGTTGGTGGTGTCATCAGTGATATCTACCATGCGGAGGATCGCAACACTCCCATGGCTCTCTTCTCGGGCGCCGCACTATTCGGTACCGGTCTCGCGCCACTGTTGTCGAGCGTGATCGTCTATCACACCACATGGCGTTGGATCTACTACTCGCATGCTATCGTGTCAGCAGTCTTCGTTGTTATCATCTTCTTTTTCTTCAAAGAAACCCGTGGCAGCGTCATTCTCAGTCGCAAAGCACACGCACTGAACAAATATTATGAAGCACTTGAAGATGCAGGCCATTTCGGCGTAATCATGCCGGACGAATCCGGAGAGAAACAGTGCGTAAAACGGATTCGTTGGAAGGTCAAGAGCGATGAGCAACGAGCCTCCCTCGGACAAATGATCAGCATCTCCCTCTATCGACCCTTTCGTATGTTCTGCCAGGCAATCATCTATAAATACTCAGAGCTGACTGTTGCCAGATATGCTTTTCACTGAACCGGTCGTTTTCTTCTTCTCCCTTTGGGCGGCCTTCAGCTGGGCCGTGCTGTATCTCCAGTTCGGCTCCGTCCCGTTGGTTTTCCAGACGAACCATGGTTTCAACGTTGAGCAATCAGGAGCGGTGTTCACATGTAGGTTGAGCCATCCTCCTGCTATCCAAAACAAAGCTAACCGGAATAGCGATGTGCGTCGCCGTGATCATTGCCACACTCATCAGTATCTACCAAGAAAGGGTCGTGAGCCGATTCGTGACGCTTCCCAACACCCCAGAGAAACGTCTCTACTTTGCCTGTGTCCAGGCGGTGCTCATGCCCGCAGGCCTGTTCTGGTTCGGATGGTCCTCGTATCCGTCTGTACATTGGATCGCTCCGGCTATGGCGGTCGGGTGTGCTACTATGGGCATTCTGTCCATTTATTTGGCGGTCTTTAACTACCTGGCTGATACATATCATCGTTTTGCCAGCTCGGCGATTGCCGCGCAGTCTTGCTGTAAGATGCCCCTAGTGCCCAGGGCAGGATATCTCTAACATCGTGTATAGGCCGGAATCTCCTGGGCGGTGTTTTCCCCCTTGTGACCCATGCTTTGTTCACAAACCTGGGATACCCTGCTGCTTCTAGCTTGCTGGGTGGAATTGTAAGTCCATCTAGAGTTTATATTGATTTTGAACATTGAACTAATGTCTGCAGGGAGCCGCCCTGACACTTGTACCATGGGTCCTGTCCTTCTATGGACCCAAGATCAGAGCGAAGAGCAAGCTTGCCAGCGTAAGTTTGGCGAACCCTATTCCTATATTCGTTTTCCGTTCAGACTACTGACAAGCCTACAGGAACTTGCGCATTGATTTATGCATTCATATGTGTTGAAAATAACGTCTCATGACCTGAATACTGTTTCATGAGCCATCTCGGGATTTAATTGCATTGGGTGAAGAGCACATACATATAGACCATCTTGATACCAGCTTGTGCCTAGCATCGTATACCCTTACTTATGTTACGCGTTTCTGCGATTTCTACTGGAAGGAAAATTAATAGTATATAATGAACTCGAATATAAGTTAGAAATCTAAAGGTTCCACATCTACATCATAAAAACAGCGCTTCATATACCACAGATAACAATCGATCAATCACTCATCCCAACGGGGGCCTCTCCCGCCGCCAGATTACACTGTCTAAACAATCTGACCTCGTCATCCCCAAACGCCCCCACCACCGAATGCAACACGCCCCGGTTATGGAACAAGACCAGATCCCCCTCCTCCCAGTCATGCGCGTAGACGTGTTCCGGGCTGATACCCGGACGCTGCAACCGGTAGACAATGTCCCGGACACGGGCGAGATCGTCAATCACGCTGCCATCTTTCTGGTGGATTTTCCGCACAGCCGACGGGTGGATCTGGAGCGCTGGTTTCCCTGTAACCGGGTTCTTCCAGATCATGGGCAAGATCATGATCTTTGATTGGTCGATGGGTGGGAGTTCGGACTCGGGTAGCTCGAGCCCTTCAGAGTACAGCCCGAGTCCTGTTGGGAGGGAGCGGGCGGGACTCATCCAGATGTATCTGGGTGTTGTTAGCTTGTATTAGAAGGTCGAGAGGTTCACAAGGGACATACGGATGAGGTGCATATTCAACTTTGCTCCCCAGCACAAACTCCTTGTCCTCATCGGACAACATCTCGAACATCCGCTCCCCACTGACAAAGGCCGTCGTGCCGAGCGGCACATCCAACGTCTCGTCCGAGCCGTCATCATACCGGAGTGTCTGTCGTCGACCCTTCGGCACCTTCACCGCAAGTAACGTCGTGACCTTCGGTGGATAATATTCATACAGCGCAGCATCAATATGCCATCTGTAGAACCGGGTGAAATCGTAATCTTCTTCCGGGGGAATCGCATCGCGGTGGAAGGTCTTGTGATGTGGATGCTTCAACTGGAAGTTGGATAGACCTTCGTAGGAGTCGATGAAGCCATGGCCAATGATCTGCACTTGCGGTTGATGTGGCACGGTCTTCAGGTCCGGGTGCAGGATGCTCCGCTTTGCGTCAATTGTTTTGCCGTGTCCGTACTGGGTGGACGAGGGGTCGAAGCGTTGGGTGAGGAGGTATTGAGCTTTGGGGGAGAGGTGATGTTGGTTTTTAAAGACTACTACTTGATGGTTGTAGAGGGCGGAATGGATTGTTGAGAAGGTTTCGTCTGTAGAGTATGAGTTTCTTTTCGTTGAAGTAGATAGAAGAATGTTGAGGAGTCCGTACCGGTTAGATTCTCGAGATCGATGTTGTCAATGACAGCGCCGAAGTTAATGTCGGATCCCGCCGGGGGAGTAAGTGGTTGCACTATTGCTGGCATGGTAATTATGTATCGGTCCTAAAGCAGTCCAAATTCGTCAGATTGAAGCTGGGATGTCAACACGGGTTACCACTTATACTCGCCGGTGCTCTCGGTGACGGTCAGTCCCGATCCACGGGCCATGCCGATGCCGCACCTTATCAGCGATAAGCATAATTCTTATCGGATCTTATCAGGGCCTTCCATGTGTCCGGTGTTACCATTATCATTGCCGAGGTTGAATCATTTCGTTTGTTGCATAATGGGGTAATAGATACGTGACAGGTCAGATAATATAATATCATGGCTTGATTTAGTCTCCAGGGGAAAAAAAAAAAGCTCAGACCAGTCCCTATAGCCTGTTCTCTCTGACAGAAAATCCCAAGCTTCACCGTAAATTATGTAGACCATTTCCACTTAAATCATGTGTAGCTCCGGAATCAAGTGATATCTCTTCGCCATTGTGCACCACTTCAGATGTGTCTCAGTAGCCATAAGCTGCATGTCCGCAACCCTGCACTCGAAGGCATGCCCGGGCGTCCCAGTAGCCCTCTGCTGAATATTTGCATGTCTTTCCAACACACGCCGCATGAGGTGGTTATGCAAAGCACAGATATTGTTCGTGGCAGCCTGCAGAGTGGCATCGTCCCCTGCGTATATCGTCTGGCCCACGATCTGTGCAACATTCACAAAAACTGCATTCATTTTCTCCTTTGCTCGGATGTCCTTCTCCAGGCCAACAAGGTCATTCTGCAGACCAAGCATGGCGCAAACATCGCTCTCCATCTCCATTATTTCTGTTGACCACTGGTGGTCATCTATTTCGAGCATGCTCCTGGCGAGTGTGAAAAATGGGGCCATCCCGATCGTCCGTCGACGTATGCTCATATATGTCTCCAGGTTATATGGCAAGTCACCTTGACTGAACTTGATTTCATCAAGCAGCGCCTCCAGTATAATGCAGACACTCCCAAAGAAACGTCGAGCTACTTCCTTGGACAGCTGTGTTGAACAATGCTGTTTAAAGGCGATGAAATACTGAACAAAGGCATGCTGAGACGAGCAGGAATAGCCTGGCAGATAGATATCAGTATCGTCGCTAGCGACGGCATTCGTAGTGGCATCACTTACATTCTTCTCGCAGAGTCTGTATCGAATGGTGTAGAACAACAGTCGCCTCATCAGGCATCATGTCTTCGATTATATCATCGATGGAACATAATGTCCCTAGTATTGCCGCCATGCAGGTCCGGATATTGGTATCCCGTATATCCGGGAAGAACAGAGCGATCGTCCTAACCTCACTGATACATTGACGTAGAATCGACAATTCATCCGTATTGCGGCCGGATGGCGTGGAATGCCGATATCTCAGATGCGAGTAAAGCACATCCAAGATACCGGTGTCATTCTCCGAGGGCTGCCCATCTTGGTATAGGACTGTCCGTATCTCAGTGACTCCGAAATCGGGAACATCTAGCTATACAAGCATATTAGCTCTGTTCGGTATTGATGTAGACGCATTTTTTGCTTACACGTAACGAGATGCCGAGATTCTTAAGCTGGATGCTATTCGTTCGCAGTGAATGCTTTGCCTTCTTTCTCATGTAATCACGCAGGCCTTGTTCTATCACCTCTCTGGTTTCGGATGATGGATTCATATTTGTTGTTGCTTGTGAGATGTATATGACGCGTGGGGCTAATGAACCATGTATTCAACCAAGGTTCGGTGCAGCGACTTTATAAAGTTTTTGATAAAGCAAGATTGATATGGCTCCACTAGCATGGCTTTACACATCCACCTTTAAATAAAACCCACATTCGAGTTAGAAAAGTTCATCGGTACCCACCACGGAGAACCCCTAATGCCATGTGGACTGGCAGGCAACCAATATGACAGGCAAATGATCATTCAGCCACACCTGATAGTGTCACATATTGAGTAAGTGTAGGATGGCACCAGCTGGAGCGCCACTGACACAATATCATATGCAGTGCGCTCGAAGGGATGCCTTGTGATGCCTACATTCCTAGTTGGGCCGCGAGCATACCAGGCTACCGCAGCGGACAGGACTTTTCTACAGCACTAAAACAGGTTGGACATGACTGTACCATGGCATAGGCTGTAGGTTATAAAGACTATGTGTACGTGATGCTGCACTGGTATTGTCGCAGTCGACATTGCGCGTGCCTTTGAGCAGCTATCGTAAAGAAGGCCTGAAAACTCTTCAGCCGCAGCTGGATCTTTGCCTGCACCGAGGCCTATGAAAATAATACGATCGTCAGGATCGTGACTGCAAAGCCCAGAATGGACTAATACATATAGCTTACATTCGGAGTAGATCGATTTTGCCACTAACGCTGTGCCAGGCCTGTTCAGGGAAGCTGGTGACCCAGAAATTGGCTAGAACTACGTCAACAGTCAAGCATATGTAGAACACCAAGTTGAGAAGTGGGACCGAAGGAGCTAGGGGTAGATCCTGGAAGATCAAGGGTCTCGGTGCGTTATCCTGATTAGCAAAATCAAGGGAATACGTGACCCACAGTACGTAGCACTTGGCATCGTGTGGCAGTTGTCTTACGTACTAATTAATACTAGCTACGCTGAACCCAGTGGTAGGGTCAAAGACCAGGGATCTGGCCAGGGTATTTGCCAATGGCCACCTAGTCCAGGGTATTGTGGGGAGAAAGCCGAACATGCCCGCTATCAGCCGCACTGCTACACTATGGATACGGCATGTAGAAATATCCTCGGCCAAAACGTGATGCACACATATTAATGACTGGGCTAGTCGACTTTCCAGGTTGAGGCTTCCACACATGAGATTCCTCAGCAGCTCTACAGAGTTTGTCACACAGAAGCCTCCATTCGGAGACTCGGCAGTGCCGGTTGGTGGACAATCAAAATGATGCTCGCACAGGACTCGTTGCCGCTGATTGCGACACTTAGCGGTGTTTCACTCCATACTTTCGTATACAGGTTTGGGGAATGGGACACGACTTCTATGCTCCTGGTGCAAATCTATACCTTCATCTTTGTGGGCGGCAACTTAACAGCTTACCTTAATTTATTGACATGGACTGGGCTCAGACTCTCGCCCGCGGCTTTCTGGAGCCTCTTCTGCTACCATATCTTGGGTATCTACTGTAGCATGCTCGCTTATCGATTATTGCTCCATAGGCTCCGCAGGTTTCCTGGCCCATTCTTTGGCCGTCTGACGAATCTCTATGCGACGACATTAACAGTAAATCTACAGAAGCCTCAAGAAGTCCAAAAGCTTCATCGTGAATATGGCGACTACGTCAGGTTGGGTGAGTGTTTAATTTCAGCAATATGACCCTGTCTAATTCTTTAAACCCAGGTCCTGGCCATCTATCCATTGCAGATCCAGAGGCAGTGCAGGTAATATATGGTACCCAGTCTCCTGTGACCAAAGGCCCGTGGTATACAGTACTGGAACCGCGCGTACCTCTCGTCATGGTGAGAGATAAGCAAGAGCATGCACGCCGGCGGAAGGTTTGGGATCAGGGGTTTAGCACCAAAGGTACGACGAAATGAGCCATTCTCAAAACTGTGATAAGCAATCGACCTGACATCATTGACTACTACCCTAGCACTCCGCGAATACGAGCCCAGAGTATCAAAATACACCGACAATCTTCTCCAAGTCATTCATAAAAACGCCGGGAAGCCAATAGATGTCGCCCGGTGGTTCATGTATTTTTCCTTCGACGTCATGGTCGATCTTTCCTTTGGCAAAGCTTCTAACATGCTGGTTGATGGGAAAGAGTCTTACATTCTGCGGACAATCCGCACAGACATGGCCAAGATTGCTTATTTCAGCCATTTGGCTTGGCTTTTCCCGTTCACCAAAAGACTGCCATTTTTGAACGGCAACCTCCTCCGCCTTTGGCAATGGATAGCTGAGCAAGTCTCCGAGAGGGCTCAGGTAAGATCTTATGGGTGATGGGCTCTATTTGCTACTGATGTACTGATTGTCGTAAACAGTGCGAACCTGAACGACCCGACGTCTTTTCCTGGATTCTTAATCATTACCGCCAGGGACCCAAGTCACACCAAGACACACTGAATCTACACGGAGATGCCCATCTGATAGTCGTGGCCGGAAGGTACGTCATAACACATCAACCGTGTTCTCAGAACATATATGGTCAAGATCAAGTTTTCATTCATCGGCGGCACGACTAAAAAGCCGTCAGTGACACTGTATCTACGACACTCACCAACGTCTTCTGCCATCTTGCCTCCAACCCAGCGATTACCAAAGAGCTTCAATCTCGCCTTGACGCACTCCCAGATCTCGAGCTTCACCGGCTGGCCCAGATTGACTTGCTTGACGCTATTCTCAACGAGACATGGCGGTTTCAGTCTCCCAATCCGTCCGGCTTACAGCGTGTCACGCCTGCAGAAGGCCTGTCCATTGGCGACAAGTTCATACCCGGAAACGTCATTGTACAGGTCCCTACGTACACTGTGTATCGAGGTGAGTGGTTGAATACGAAACATCCATGAAGACAACTGCCAAACAGTTCTGATTTGTTCCACCTTGGGAACAGACAGTCGCGCATTCGAGCGCCCCGAAGAATTCATTCCCGAACGATGGACAACTCGTCCCGAGCTTGTGAAGGATCGCTCTGCTTTTATTCCGTTCGGCTCAGGTATTTCTCATGCGCCTTCCTAACTGACAGAATTCCACTCTTACTGTTTGCGCAGGACCCTACTCATGTGTCGGGAAGCGACTCGCCTGGATGGAACTGCGACGCGTCATTGCCGTGATACTCCATAGTTATGATGTTGCTTTAGCGCCAGGGCAGTCGGCCAAGGCATTCTGGGAGGGCCAGATGGACACTTTTACGCTTGTGACGCCGCCGTTGGAATTGGTGTTTACGGAGAGAGAACATGTTTGATGCAACGAGAGTTAGTCTCGGTAGACTACATGAGTGTGCTCCCAGTTTTCAATGTGACTCTGGGTAACAGGGTCAATCTTGATCGTGTTTGGCACAAGTGCTGCTCCGGGTTGGGTTGAACCCTGTTCAAGGGTTCAACCCAACCAAAACCGGCCCGAACCACACCGGAACAACGGAGCTTCGTGTATACGGAGTCAGCCATTGTTAGTTCTAGCACACAGAGTGCGAAGTCTTAAATGAACATGATCATTCAATGGTAAGTAAGTGACTCGAATTGAAGTTATACATATCTGGATCAATCTAAAAGCCCGACTTTCTGTATTTGTAAAACAAACATACGTTCAAGCCCACATTCCACGAAATGTGGCAATACCAAGTTCCCTCAGCTCAGCTTATCCAGACCAGAACCAGGGAACATCAAGCGGTCCTAAACATCTAGATGTGAGCACAATCAACCCCAATTCCAGGAAGGAAGCGAGGCCACTTACCATTAGCCAGGTCGGAAGAACGGTGTACAATATCCGTGCAGCAGTCGACATCTTTCCTCTGAAAATCGTACCAGTGGCTCCACCAAGAACATCATCCGCAACCTTTCTGGCAAAGTCGGCAGGGGCCATAGAGCCATTGACCATTTTTCCATTTGCCATTTTTATAATCTCTTCAGAGGCTGCTTTGTACATCGAGTTGGGAGGTAGGGGGCATTCCTCTACAGGCCTGAAGATATGGGTCTCTACCGTCCCCGCAGCTACAGTGACAACCCTTACGCCCAATGGGGCCATTTCTTGACGGATGGTATGGGTGTAAGCATCCACGGCTGCCTTGGAGGCGCTATAAAAGCCTAAACGACATCAGCAAGGCAAGCTCAAAAGATACATAAAGTGGAGACGAACTTAGCCAGGGGGAATGGAAGAAGGCAGAGAGGGATGCAATGTTGACGATGGTTCCTTTGGTTGCGAGGATCAGGGGCGAAAAGGCTTGCGTGACAGCAACTACGCCCCACACGTTGACATCGAACAACTTCTTTGCATCTTCAATGTTCGTGTCCAAAGCGGGCAAGACCAGGCTCTGTCCTGAGTTGTTGATCAGATAGTTCAGCTTTCCGCCTGTCTTGGCGGTAACGGCCTCGACGGCGGATTCAATGCTCTTCGAGTCAGTCACATCGAGCTCCAGGAGAGTGACGTTGGACAGTTTCTCCAGATGTGCCATTTTGGCCGTTGAGCGTGCCGTCGCGAAACGTGCATTCCACGTTCGTGGAATGTTTCGGCCAATGCCGAGCCAATTCCACCTGCGCTACATCCGGTGATGAGAACGGATTGAAGGAAGTTTGTCTCAGACGTCATATTGGCTAATTGACTGAAATCAATGTCGAGTTGATGGAATTCATAGAAAGAATGTAGGAGGTCGTGATAACTTATGAGGCTGGGGTCAATAAGCGCTAAGGGCTTAGGTTCAGATAGACCGATCCCGTGACTACATTATGACCAACACACAGATCCTTCAAGACGATTATGCGATTATCCATAACCAATCTCCCGTTCTAGTTACCGATATGCATCCATATGGATTATTCAAATATTTCGTAAAGTTTCGTTTTGGGAATAGGGTTACTAGTTTTGCTGTCATCTAGGTATCCACCGAGATAGCCAAGAATATATAGTAACCACGTTGTCCACTGAAAATTTATACGTTCCGCTATTTATGCCATTTCACCAGCGAAATTCTAGGCGACAATGCTTGAATCTCGAAATTCGTATAAGGAGGACCTGCAATGAAGCATGTATATATAATTTCCAGAGAAAAGGATGTGGATCAGAGATATTATTACTAGCCAGGTTTCTTCTCGCACGTCTTCATGTTGACGTCCTGGCCTCTAAGACCACACCCAAGGCAATAAAGGTGGCGCTTCAGGAGCTGGGATCCATGCTCCAGGAAGGAAGTAACGATACCCAGTCAAAAGTGCTAGACAATGTTTATGAGCAGGCCATGCTACGGGTTCAAGGCCAAGCCAAAGACCGCCAAGAGCTTGCTATGCGAACCTTGTCTTTTATCGCCTGTGCGAATAGACGCCTTACATCTGGTCAGCTTTAGCATGCTCTCGCTATTGAGGAAGGCCTATCTGAGCTGGATACTGAGAATTTCACAGATATCGGACTCATAGTCTCTGTATGCGCTGGCCTGGTTATTGTTGATAAGAACATTGATATTATCCGCTTGGTCCACTACACCATACAAGAATATTTCGAGCGCACTTGGCAGTCCTGGTTTCCCAATGCCCACACCGATATGGCGAAGGCATGCACTACTTACCTGTTGTTCAAGGATTTTGAAACCGGTTTTTGCTCGAGAATTGAGTCTCTAAGAGAGAGACTACAGTCATGTGTTCTCTATGACTATGCGTCAAAGAACTGGGGATACCACGCCATGATGTCCACGATTGAAGGAGAAAGATTGGTTTTAGATCTCCTGCAGAGCACTGGCAAGATATCGGCATGCACCCAATCTATGGTGTACGAGGAAGACCGGTCTTATTTTCAACTGAAACTATATAACAGGTATGCATCTCACAGCTCACTTCGGACTTTGGAGGTCCGCATCAGTCTTGCTCGAGAGCAATGCAGAGATTGACCCCAAGGATGCTAAGGGAGGAACCCCCTCGATATGGGCAGTTAAGAAGGGTTATGTGGAGGTGGTACACTTACTACTTAAGAATGGTCCCGATGTGGAGGCAAAGGATGAGGATCGCAGAACCAGTCTCTCGTGGGCAGCTGAAATTGGAAATAACGAGATTGTGAATCTACTCCTTGCAACGGATCGGGTAGATGTTAATTCTCAAGACAATCCTCTCGCTGGACAGGGGGGTAGGTCATTAGCATATGCGGAAACGAAGGGACATAAGACTGTAGTCGAACTCCTGCTTGCTCAACCCGATACAATCCCAGATATCAAGTCAGGGTTTCATTTCAAATGGGCAGGTCGAACGCCGTTATCATATGCAGCAGAGTATGGACATGAGGCAGTAGTCAAGCTACTCCTCGCCCAACCAGGTGTGCAAATATATTCGAAGGCTACTGGTACGTATTTCACTAGCAGAACACCACTATCATTTGCAGCTGAGAATGTCAATGTGGAGGTCGTAAAGATACTACTCAAGAATGGTGCCAATGTTGTGTCTGAGGATATCAATGGCCGGACTCCACTCTCATGGGCAAAGGAGGAAGTGAAGCAGCTGCTTTTGGAGAAGGTGTCTAGTCGAAGGCAGTCATCCAAGACAGAGAATTGATAGGACAATAACGGCCCAAAAGGGACGCTCTCCATCTGGAGGATCGGTTACTTTATGATTATTAATTCCGAGCCAAGATCTAAATGATCTATTTATCGAATATGACTATTATATACGGGATATTCTTTCAGATGTTGAATTGAAAATTATTCTGATGAATCACTAAACCTGTAGGAAGAGCCGCCGATTGCATCGCATGCAGTTATGGCCCTCGCTGGTGGCAGACTGGAGAGTAACCGACCGTCATAGTGTACCATATAGTAGATTCTCAGCAACATGGGAAGAGGTATAGAATGAGTTGCAAGAGTTTAACTTGTGTAACTATAATGTACAGCATTCGTCATGTCAAGCATTGACTTAGTCAAGCTTTCATGGCAAAAAAGTACACCAGTTAGTTTCGCTGGACCCGAGTCTCCAAGACCGACTCATTTCCCCTCGGGGAGTGCCATATTTTCACTAGCTCAAGGCCAACATTGCTGAAAAGATTCTTCCACTGAGAAACTGTACGTTCCAAGCCGGCAGTGTGTAGCCACATGAGGATGTCCATTTCTGCAGCCCTAAGCTCCGCCCCAGTGTCGGGCAAGACATAGTCATCAATCAATAAGGTTGAATACTCAGGGTCCATGGCTTCAACAATTCGCGAGAGAATTTGGGCACTCTTCGCATCAGACCAATTGTGTAGCACATCGCGGAGGAAGTATGCACGAGCTCCTATGAACCAGGCATTAGCTACGGGGTGACCAATCGGGACATTTTACATACCTTTCACTGGCTGCGGTGTAAAGAAGTCGTATTCCATTGGCTCAATGCCCTCGGACAATTTCTCAATGCGTTGAAGAGTCAGCGGCAGATCCTGAAGCACTAAGCGACCAGGAATATCCGGGTATTTCTCTTTGAATCGGATCAGCTCTTGTCCAGGCCCTCCACCAACATCAACCATCAAGCTAGCGGTGGGATCCTGGACGGCATTGGAGAACTTCTCCGCGGCGGGATAGATTTCGAACCATTGGGGTAAATTGGCACCTCGTCGTGATGCCATGTAGTCATCGAAAGCCTGCTTCTGCTCTGGGTTCTTCTCTAATAGCCCGAAGATGACATCGGTACCATGGGCATATTTGAATAGGGTAGTTGCCCCAGGCTCATCGATAAATTGCTGGATGCCTGGGCCTCGCATGTAGTCGACAAGCCTCCCTCCCTACCGCGGTTCAGTTCGCTCGTCCATGTCATACATAGATTCAGTGAAATACATACCATTCCGAAGTCCAAATCAAAACTGCAGGAAGTCAGTCTCATAGTTCACTGGTAAGTATCTGGAGATCCAGGCTCACATACTGATGCTTTTCAGCAGCTATGGATCCGGGCAGGACCTTGAAGTGTGTTTTTTCATTGGCAGCGTAGGTCTCATTACCCACCTCATCACATAGACCAATAGCTGTCAGAACACGCATGACACGCACTGTACAATTATAACTATAATCAGTCCTACTGCAGAAAGCCACAATCAGGCTCTGCTCTTACCTATAAGCAATGGATCCTCTCCAGTCCTGTTTGCGATCTCGGACGCTGTGATAGGCGCGCCATTTCGGGCTGCGACAAGTTGAAGAAATTGTTTCTCGATGGCGACGCGTATCGATATGTTCTGCATAATCTGTACGAGGTAAGTGGAAATCATCGCAATGTAACTTACACCACACCTACCTGGAAGTTAAACCGCGAGGTCGTCTCTACTGGCGTTTCAACTGCTAGCTGCAATGCGCGAATTGCTCTCAGAAGTTCGCCATGTGCATTCGTGTCGCCAGCTGCCTCAGCTGCTACCAGTCTCTGAACTTCCGCGAGTTCCCTGGATACTGCCATTATGGGATTTCCTTCTGTGAATCGAGGTCTACAATAAAGAATTAGGAATGAGGGGAGGTGCGGCGCAGATACGAGCAACCAGGTGAACTGTAGTGCGGCCTATAGGTCAAGCTTATATTACCCGTTTGCCTTCTATACGTCGATTTAATTCAGTTAGCACCAACTGCGATGACAATATGATGGTTAAGCGAGGCAATCTCAACCAATATCCAGTCTTATGTTGTTCAACCTCAATGCGGCATCGGGTTCCAGCTTAAATGGGGGAGTTCCGGTCTAAAATAACTCAAAAGCCAACTCTCTACTCCGGACTCCGGAGTAGTTTGTTCATGTTCTTTTATTAAATTATATTAGCTAGAAATGGGATGGGCAAAGTTCCACTGGGAACTGAGACTACTGCAGGGTGGTGGGTAAGTGGCACGACCAACTCGTATATCTTTGGTGGGGCTGGAATACCAGACCCTTGTTCGAATGCTACCATGCAGAAAGTAGTGGCCGCAGGATGCACTGAAACGTACTGAATTCTTCGCTGTGTGATTAAATCTGCGCAGTACTATTTTCAATTTTTTTTTTTTTTTACTTTATCCTCGCATATCCCTGCATAGCGGAAAGGGAGTGCATCCGGAAGCCTTACAGTAGAGGTATCTCATTCATGTAGTCGAGGCAGTCATGTTTCTACGTCGCGCTCCTAGACTTCAATAATCCTAGCGCTGTTGATGCATAGACCAAGTGTGAGGTTATCTGAGTAGCTGCAGGAAAACTCCCGGTTTAAGCAATGGAGACATCATGCAATGTGTATTTGTCCAACGTTCACTAGACACATAGCATGGCACGATTCGCATTGTCTTGCGTTGAAGCTCTAGTATGCTGCAGATACTAGTAGCCTTTCTTCAAAACTTACATATTGGTTTAACCTGATATAGTTAAAACAGTGAATATCAACATCTTTCTGACTCCACGCTTGTATGCCTGGTTATGAAGATTCGTCTTCCTGACTGTTGCTGCCCGGCGGCATAGTCGTCGTTTTCTCCATGTTCCATGTCAGAATGCTTTTTTGCATAGGTAGAAACATGTGTCACGTAAGTGCTATGCGACCTGTCCTCTAGTTGTATCCACGATTCACGGTTGTTGCGGCCGTACTCAGGTAATCGGAAGGATTGGTACGACTTGAAGAATGACCATAGCCAGCGGCACATTTAATATCCTGTGTGAAGCGCACAAAGAACAGACGAAGGACTGGGATCGATCCGAAAATAATAATGAACCACATTTCCGTGAGCACCCATGTGTTGAGCTTGTAGATTTCGTAGGCCAGGTCATCAAGAGTAATGGAGGCAATTGCGATTGTTTTGTTGATGCCGGCGATACCTGCTCTGTATACTCATTAGTATGAACAAGGAAAATGGAGAATGTTATGATTATATCATACACAAGTCCTCCACTCATAAGCAAACATAGTCCAATCTTCGTAGAGAGCTTCATTTGCTGCAGTCGGCCGATGATATACACTGGATAAAAAGCAAGAAAGAGGTCGGCTGTCGCTCCAATGCCTAAACAATATATCATTAGTCTGACTTCTGTGAACAATTTATTTTTCATGCCCATACTTCCTTGTAAATACCCAACCTGAGAGCATATGAGAACTCGACCACAGGTCCCTGGGACAGCTGGGTTCCATAGCTTTTCTATCGGATCACATTGCTTTAGGATGAGGACAACCTCGATCACGTTAATCATGGCTTGTACCGTGCCAACTGTATAGAGTACTATCCGTCCGATGCTACTTGTGCGCCCCTGAAGGGATAAGAGGAATGCGATTACCGCAATTCGCGATATAGCGAGGCAGAGGACGGCCATAATTTGTGCCATCCAACTCCACAAATTTGTGTGAATAATATCGTGCGCCGATAATAAGCTTTGATGATCTCCCAGGCCATAGCTCACACTGATAGTCATGAAGCTTTGTGCACACAGAGCGAAGGCCTTCATGTGGTCAGCATTCTTGCGCCTTGAGTTTTACGTGGGACCATACCAGTGCGACGACAACCCAAATGAAATCCCACCGTAAACCAAAAATACCGAATCCTGGTTGACCAGGCGGACAGAGGGAGGCAGTCTTCGCTCGCAATGCGAGTAAGATCAATGCCAGACCTGCCTCAGCCCAGGTGACTCCGAGCACTAGTGGCCCTTTCCCTCCATGCGCTCGATCCGGTGGCTCTGTCATTGAAAGATACAGCCAGTCCTTTAACTACGACGGGAAGAACTACATGTGTCGATGTGCCATGCGCCACTTTTAAGCAAGCATCCGTTGCTCCTCAGGGCACATATGTTTACCTAAGAGACTCGGTCAGTACTGCTTCCAATCCTTCCGCTCGATCATAGTGTTTGATTTGCTATGTGTTCCTCAACGAGGATCATACGGCATGGTTGTTTCCCTCTCGGTCTCGACCGGAGACATCAATAGTAGATCCTTGTTAAGCACTGCGTTCATCCAGAAATTAATGAATACGATGTTTTCCCCGCTCGACTTTAGTTTATGCATTAGGGTCAACCGCTGGTTTCTTGATTCGGCTAGGGTTCGGCTCAGACCCATGCTTAGCCCTTGCACTGGTACGCCATCCCTGCCAGTACAATTAATATGCGACATTGATTAATACCACATGTGAAGAAGAAGATGGCAAAAAAGGAAAACAAGACGATCGACAAGTGCCCTTCCTGTTACCTCGCTTATCACCCCCGCCGGTGAAAGGTCATAGTTGCATGGCTCAGCTTTCATCCCTGCCTAGTGATCGCCGCAGTACTCCGTACGACTCGACCATTTAAACTGAAATTGCCTGACACTAGCTCCGTTACCTACAACGTGGCGTGTTCTGCTTAATATTGCAAACATCAGATTATGCTTCCTTAGATGCGGGGACTTCGACCCAGGAATCATCCTGTGCAGAGTGTCGCTAGACGAAGCAACGCTGCCCTTGCAAATTTAGATGCATTGCCCTTTCTAGCACTTTCTATTAAAGAGCACTTTCCAGTGAAAGGCTTTCTCTAATCATTCCTCCCACTACGTGGTTTCTGGCCTGATCCCGAACGGTTTCAGTACCTTGTGCCTGGTAACACCATGCTACACGAGAATCCGGAGAAGAAGCCGCCACCTCATGTCCAAGATGTTGAAATTGATGAAGAGGCAGAAGCTCTTGATGGATATGTCGTGGACCCGAGTCAATATCCCGATAATGCCACACGCCTGAAAACTAGCGCAGACGGTCGCTTCGTTCTGATTCCGCAACCTCTCGATACGCCCAATGATCCGTTGAATTGGTCACCCCGGAAAAAATGGTTTCTTGTGGCAATAGTAGCTTACATTGCGCTGTTGGCTGATTACACTGGAGGGACGGCTATCGTTACTATTATTCCACAGTCGATGTAAGGCACCCATTTACTATGTACGTAGAATGTACAACTGATATACTGGTTCAGGCAGTGGGAGCTAGCGCAGGCTACGGTCCAGAGAGCAGTGGTTGGTAATCTCTTCACCATAGGTGCATGCGGTCTCGTCGTGGTGCCTTTAGCCCATTACTTCGGGCGCTTACCAGTTACCCTTTTCTTCCAATGCGTGATGGTTGGCACCTGTGCATGGTCAGCCGCAGCCACCAGCTTTCCCTCTTACTTAGCCGCGCGCATTATCAACGGCTTCTTCTGTAGCGTTGGTCAAGGAGGGGCCCTAATGTGGATCAAAGATTTATTCTTCTTCCACGAGCACCCCAAGGTAATCAACTATGTGGAGTTCTCGATTATCATGAGCCCGTATCTTGGCCCTTTGATCACCTCATTCATTGTGTCAGGGGTCAGCTGGCGCTGGGCATTCTGGCTCTGTACAATCATGTCTGGAGTGGGCCTTATTCTGATTCTCTTCCTCGATGAATCTTTGTTTGACCGCAAGCACCCACCGTCATCCCGAGGTTCCTATATCAGCCGTCTAACTGGAGTGCACCAAGCCAAGGACTGGGAGCATAAGAGCCTCGTTCAATGTTTGGCGCTGCCTGTTATAGCCATAACTAAGATACCGGTCCTCATCATCCTCGTCTACTACTTCCTCAATTTTGCTTGGGTCATCGGCGTCAACACAACGATCGGCATTTGGCTGACCAACATATATGGCTTCTCGACTAGAGGGATAGGTAACAAACTCCAATGTGTACCAGACTATTATATAGTTCTCTAATCCCGTCCAGGGTATTTCTACTTCTTCGGAATTGTCGGCGTCCTGGTTGGCTGGTTCGCCGGACACTTTCTTCACGACGCTGTTGGGCAGTACTACACCAAACGCCACGGCGGACGACTGGACCCCGAGGCTCGGTTAATTATCACGTATCCTGCTACGATGTTGTGCTGCATCAGTTTGATCATCTTGGGTCTGGCATTCCAATATCACTGGCACTATATGGTTATTGCCGTATTCGCAGCTACTCAATGTATAGGCGTCATGATTGTTACGACGGCTATCAATGCCTATCTCCTGGACTCCTATCCGGAGGGTTCGGGCATCGTGGGTGCGTGGGTGACTGCCAGTCGCAACTGGGCGGGCTTCATGGCTACTTATATTCAGATTGACTGGGTGACACGGATTGGGCCTGCCAAGGCTCTGGGGATTCAGGCGGCCATCACCTTCGCGTCGGTGTTTTTTATGGTTTTCTTGCAGGTGTATGGCAAACGATTAAGGAAATGGCAGGGACGCATGGTATTTAACAGGGAAGGAAAACAATAGCTCATGAATGTGAACTCGAAAAGCCTTGGATTTACCAGCCATTCACAAATTCATTTACCTCAAAGTGTCAGACTCCATGAATACTTCACTTGGCTAGATGTACTCTCTGCCGTCAGTGATAATGACATACGTACGCTACGGATATTCACCCTGATCTGGGAATGCAGCGCTTGAAACCTGTCCTACTATCACAATTCACATGAATGCTCGAATATCATCATTCCCCGACTTTTCCCTGACTTCGCATCTCGTTCTGAAGAGAGCATAACTACGACACCAATCCAGTCCCCAAGACCACTCTCTAGACTTCATACCGACAAACTACCATCCGAAATGCATTCCCAATTCTCCCAGTTCAGCATCATCCTACAAACGATCCTCACCCTATTACTTGCCGTCACTCCGACGCTCACGTACCAACTCATATCCAACAACACCCTTACCCACCTCCCCCGGCCAAACACAGACTTCAACATCCACAATGGCACACTCCTCTCCCCTATCCTCCGAACCCGCGTCCCAGGAAGCCCAGGCTCCGAAGCAACCAGATCCCACTTCACCAGCCTCTTCGCCCGAACACTCCCACACTGGCAGGTCGAGTTCCAGAACTCTATAGTCAGATCTAACAATAATGATATACCCATTGTCAACTTTATTGCCACTCGTGATCCGCCCGGTGTCCAGGCAGGTAACATCAGCAGACTGACCCTGGTGGCCCATTACGACAGCAAAAACGCCCCAGAGGGATTCATCGGAGCAATCGACAGTGCCGCTCCCTGCGCTATAATCATGCATGCCGTCCGAAGTATCGATGCAGCACTAAGTCGGAAATGGGGTACGTCACCTAAGCCACAAACTGCGGAAGGTATACAGGTTATCTTCACAGATGGCGAGGAAGCGCTCGATCCTCCAGAGATGTTATTCGGGGCGCGGTCATTAGCTGCGGAGTGGGAATATACTCGTTATCCGCCATCCTCTAAATATTCAAGTCGGCTAAAGGCCATCTCGTTATTCGTCTTGTTAGATCTTCTTGGGGCGAGGGAGCCAGCGATTGCGTCGTATTTCAACACGACACATGAAGTGTATAGGCGGGCTGCCGTCCTTGAAAAGCGGTTAAGAGGACTGAATCAGTTTAAGTCGGGGGGCATCAGACCTTGGCTAATTGATGGCGATAGAGATGAAATCGGGGTGAACAGGTTTCCTATCTATGATGACCAGGTGCCGTTCCAAGAACGGGGTGTGGATATACTACATTGGATTGATGCGAATCCTGATACTGGGGATTTTCCGAAGGTGTGGCATACTTTGGATGATACGGGGGAGAATTTGGATCTTGACGTTGTGGAGGACTGGAGTGTCTTGCTGATTGCATTTATTGTTGAATGGATGGAGTTGGAGGGTTACATGACATGAGCAGGAGATTACTGTAGATCATTACGATGCTAGCAAAGGTGGCAATAACGAGCTGAAACAGTCTAGCTCTGTCAATGTTATTCATATTGTATTTTAATATCAATTAAACAATACCATTGAGTAGTTTTCCTTTTGCAGCCATCACACGTGGGCCAAATTCGCTCAGCGTTCAGGCAGTGGCGTCAGCGAAAGGTAGAACATTCCTCAAATATGAGGCACATCTTCTCAAGTTATACAAAGTGAATACGGCCATATCTGGCATGTTGAGGCTCGCAGAGCAAATCTAGTAGCATTCCCATCCGGTATTTCTCCAGAGTCATGAAAGATGGCAATCCCAGACCCGACTCCCAATTTCTGCATACGGGATTCTTTGTGCTAAGTAGGATACAACTCCAGCTGTTGTTTGTTCGTCAATCCATCGCGGCCGGACGCGCCAGCGGATAGTCCAAAGTAACGACCTCGATTAGCGGGACTCACTAAGGCACAGTCACTCACATCTCAAAAGGTGTCCACTAAATAATAAGGAGCACTAGGTGGAAACAAACCTTTGCTTTGGCTTCCTCAGTTCCTGCAAAAGCTTCTCGTAACGCTCATATTGACTCCCGGGAACATCTTTGATATGCACCTCCCTGTGTTTTCGAGTCCAGCCCTGCGCACTAGGACCCAGCCTGGCAGCACCTTGTACTGCCCCTTCTGACATGGGATCGATATAATGACTGACCTCTACGTTCGCCGGGCTAACGAAGAGCGGGTGATGACCTTTGCCTTCGAGTAAGGACTCTGCCTCGTCGGCCAAGTATTCACTTTCTGGCGTGGTTGTGGACGGGTCATAGGAGCATTTGTGGTGACCCACTTCATCGTCGGTGCCTGTTTTACAGTTTTCCGCTCGCTCGGGGTTCAGTATTTGGCGTTCGAAATCAATGGCCTGTTCTTTGTTTTCTTTCGATTGGAGGTTGATCACTGTTTGCATCGTCCGCAGTGACGCTGGCAGAACCGGCTGGGTCATGGGATGATACTGAGGCAGTAATGAACGCCCTGCTCTGAGAGCTGTCTGGCAACTGTGTCGTCTGGCAAACATTGTGTCCCTTTGCATGTAGACAGTTATACTAGTAAGCGTATTCTCAGGTTCAATGCGCTAACCGATAGGACGCGTTTGCGGGGTGATAAGTAGGTGCAGTGCAACAAGCTAGCTTCGAGCCTCCGAGGGATTCCATGCATATATGGGACTTAAACTCAATGGAATCCATGACGAGCATGAGTGTCATTACGCTCGATGTCGCCAACCAAAAGACATGGATATTGGTGCCTCAGGCGCGTATCGCACACATGACGTCATTTCTCGGTCTCGATCATCGCATGTTGGGCCGTCAGCCTGTCACTTGCGATGCGACCCATGGGTCGCGCTGAACTTTCCCTAAAGCAATGGGATTGTTCTCGCGGCCAATCGTACCTTTAATGGTATCAGCAGGATTGAGGTGTTGTTGATTGGCTCTGAGTGTTGACATCGCTTTTTGTTTGAGAACGCCCTGAGCCCACCGAGTGAGGCAGCCTCAATAACACGCTACCTCACGATATTTCTGGCCAGAGAGCACTGCCAAGGTGTCTCGGGCTCCCAGCAATAAACTCCGCTATCGTAAGTGCTCAGTTAAGTACCCGAGAGTTTTGATAATCCCATCAGCAAGAAAGACACTCGGAAGAACGAAGAGCATGCTTTCAGTAATCACAGAAGTTTGCTGTATATGGTAGAAATCATTAGCCATTCCCTGCTAGTGTTTGGATCACCAGATAGGTACCTACTGCGTATACAGTTCTCTCAGACCTGTCTTTGGATTTTCCAAGATCTCTAAATCTATATCCCAATAACAAATGGATTATATTGATGGATTCAAGGCTGCTCTCGAAGCATGCCACGCATTTATGACGGTCATATGCCTGATTCATTGACCATACATCTTTGATGTGTTGGATCGAATAGCGAAAATGCACTTGGTAATATACGTTCTGGAGAGGCTTCATGGTCGACCAGGGTCAAGCTGAATCCCAAGCTGGCTGAGGGCTAAAAGCGGCTTCAGTTCTGACTGGGAGAACTTGGCATATTCGCCTGGCATAAGGCCAAATGGATGGCCCTATGGTGAGGATAAATATTAGTGTCGGCCTCACAAGTGATCCCATCTGCCAAACCTACCACAGTCGAGAGTGCTCACTCCATACAAGAGCCTTTCCGGGCTCCTCCATCACCATACTTTGGGACCAACGGATAGATCGACAAGAGCGCCCACAAGCGATCTGCTTAAGGGCCTTATCTGTAATATCAAGTTCGCGAAGACATTCTTAATCGAGGTTGGCTGGTGAAGGCCCTTATATCAGTGACCGAAACTCACCAAAAGCGAACGGGTTGAAGCTGTAAGCCCTTGGGGTATCCGCCGTGCCGGACAGCTTTGCAATAAGGCAAGTATCCTTATCTCAGCCAAACTAACATCATATACTCAGACATCAATACGATAAATCCTCAGATATTGAAAGGTTATGAACAAGGGTTCAATTCATAAAGTACATCCCCTAGGTATATTCCTATTACTATAATTTCCATCTAGCCAAGCGATGTATGTGCCGTAGTATTCGACGTGGTGCTATCGTCACCCATCAGCTGCTAGGCAGTCAACCCTCGCTACCGGTCTTCTCCTAGGCACACATCCCCATATTCTCCTCACCAACCGTTTCGTCACACGGCGTCATATGAAAGCAGTCGCACACTTAAAAGAACTGAAAAAGTCACCCGAAGCTGAGCATCATCACGCTTATTTTCTCAAGATCGTAACAAGGCTTATTGACTCGCTTGCCTTGATGATGATATGACGGTCTCTGGACCCGACTGAAAGGCACCGAACGGCGCTGGAAAGAACCGTAAGGTTACCCAGGGCCGAGCACTATCTCGCATTCTCCCATCGCAGCTGGGATCTCAAATCGTAACAAGTTGTACTTGCCTTTATGATGATTATGGGTCCAAGCTCAATAGCATGAACTTCACTGAAAGGCATTAATCTGTCTGGCCAGAGCTGACTATTATAACAGAAGTATCGGTGTGCTAAGTTTCTACGATGGGTCTATAAAATAGTGGACAACAATGTACAAGAGTTGATCTAATATTTTGCAGAAATGGCATGTGCTTGACAGAAGAAAGAGAGCGTTATGAGGGACGTTGAGGAACGACTCGATGTTTCGGCAGACAGGAAGATTCCAGCTACTAAGAGCCAGCACGGCAGCAACAGTCACAGAATCAGGGGAGGAGCAGAGACTATATCATACTACACTGCCTGGATTGGATAGAAGTTACGGTGGAAGTATATTACGGCACTCATTGGCGCCTTCCTTACGGCTACTGCATACCTTGACCTTCCAGAACCTACGGAGGGAACATCCCGGTAGTTCTTGCTGCTTTCTCCTGGGTACAGCCTGAGGATCTCTGGATACCTATTTACATGCGATAATGTCAAGATCATAACTGTTTGCTTCAAGGGCACGTGTATATAGTGACATTTAAACCAAGACTACGAAGCCATCTTATCAAACAATTAGGTGGAGACAATCAGCCGAGAGTTATCAGCCATGTTCAACCCGACGGGATATAGAATGGGTCTCGACACTACCATATGCAATATTGTTTTCGTTACTTAGCTCGCGGAGCGACTTTCACCTCTCATTATGGTTACTCCACTAGAACTGGAAGCCGTAGCTGAGCCGAGTTTAAGTGGATTGGGCTGGGTGTGAAATTGCTCTCATTTTGGGAGCATGCCCTAACTGGTCTCACCGGAGGCATAGGAATAGCACGAGGATAACCTCAATAAGATACCCTATCCTAGATTGACAGGTATCTATCTACCTCTGACTCCCTTTCTCTTTCTATTCCTCTTCGTTTCATCTTGTATGCCGATTTTGGCAGTCCCTCAAAGATTGCTGACTATTTCTCAAGCAAATGGTATCTTGTCCAATGCAAGCGCAATATACTCCATTCATTGCTGCCTACTCACGTTACGCTCCCCAAGGTTGTTACGCTGCAGTCACCTCACACAATGGCGAGACCCACTAGACAATGGAAACAAACAGCGATAGCAGCCCTCAATGGTCGCATTCAGCCCCAAAATATTTTTGGAACATATGCATTTGTTCCAAAATTTCCTAGACCTTACACCCCGGTTAGTCGCGCTCGACAGGAAGCTCAACGACACGATTTCTGAAATGCCAATTGGGCCTTTGAACCTGCTCGTCCCAGTACTTCTGAAAAGATGGTAATGATTCAACGGCAGAGCCCTGCCTCTTAAATTCCTGGCGTAATCAGACTATTCAAGCCTTCGTTGTCACTGCCAGTTGCGTTCTCGGAGCGTGGAAATCGTCACTCTTCCTGAAGATTAAGTCAGGGTCGATACCAGATATCCCAAGTACAATCTAGAAGAAACAGGCTCTGAATTGTTCGATGCGACTACTGTACCATCACTGCTGACAGGTAACCCATAAGACGGTGATACCTAAGAGCAACAAATCTGGGCCATGGAGGTGAAAGTGATACAAGTGACCCTAGTTTTGTTAAATTACACATAGCCCGATAAGCTCGTATCTGGTCACCGAAGGCTGTGTACATCGTAGCCCGTTGATCTGCAACGCGATGACCGTACACACGTTACCCTGAGCCGTGCCTCGAGTATCGCATCCATGCTAACGCGCTAGAAAAGGTATGTTATCAGAAGGTTTCAGCAAGGCTACGCTCTGTCACCACTATACTCTAGTGAATGCTCCGAGCTAAATGCTGCCCCATAATTGACGATCACCGCGACCTTGACTCTAGTGTTTAGGGCATGCCGCATGTCTCCTTTCCCTCCAATCAAATAAACATTCGCCAGCCATAAGATGCTTTAGTTGATCATATTAAGAGTACACGCCTTAAAAATAGATATTATGAAGATTTATGAAGAATATAAGAATAATTCAAGATTTTCTGTACAGTGATTTTGTTTTTTCAGGACCTAATATGTACACTTTCTCTACTTTAGATGATCTATTTTCTAAGCGTCTAGGGCTTGCCGTTCTTGAGATAGTGCAATTAAAAGAGTTTCCAGTCGTTAACAAATAGCACATTAACATCCAGCGAATGTTTGGCTTCAAATATTGAAGGCCTTCTTAATAACCACAGGGAATCACCTTGTGGTCGCTCTTAATGAATGACCAAAGGTTAAGAGTTGAGCTGGCATGTGAATCCTGGATTCTAGTTAGCGGAGGTTATTTTTGATATTTTGCAAGCGGAGATGTTATCTACTCTAGGGAAAATTCCGAACCTTCTAATAGAAACTTGAAGTTTAGGCCATAACGAATTGCGTTAATGCAAGGAACTCGGACTGCCATTGGCAGGCGGGCCCTATTAGGTACATGATTCTCCTCCAGTTATTGATCAAGTCACCAATGCCAGGTCAGCCAAGGCATATCGCCAAGCTCAGTCTTGTGAGAGGAGAAGCCCTACGACGCGGGGTAAAAAAGTGTCGGGCAAAAGATCATAGCATTGGTCTTGTTTCTCCGCCAGTGCCATAGACACCACTCGTACCCCTTGTTATATTCACGGTCATACGATGGGTGTACTATATATGTCATTTCAGCTAAGGAATTATATTCCTGTGAAACTCTTCTATAAACATGAGCAATATATGACAGATAACAAACAGGTTCGGGCAATCAAACCAATCCCTTGCATGGAATTGCAGAAACTTCGATATAAAGCAGTTGCATACAGCCACTTGCTTCTAACGAGACCATACAGTGGTGGGCTAACCAGAGGTGCCTCTCGCCTGTACTCCGTATCCAATAGTTCCATCAGTAGTACGGAAGATCGTCCGAAACAGGCCCTAAAGGGGAAATATCGCTGGAACGATGATTACGAGAGGATTTTCCGTGATCGGCGATCCGACGGACTTTCTTCTTTAAAAGCCTAATGGGTGTATCCCATGACCTACGCTTTTCCAGCGTTCAATGTCCATTATGTGAGATAATCAAAATTCACATGGGTAGAGTAATGTTTCAGTCAAAGTTCGTTCA